TTTAGCCTCAAATGTTAGTATTACAGCTCTCAGAAATATAACCAAATGATTTTAGGACAGTCCAGAAGTTGCTGTGTTTCAATTGGTTCAGGTCACAGCTTTATAATGGTTCCTTGCTTGGTTCTGAGAACTGGATCATTGACCAGTGTAACCCTGAAATCCTCATTCCTCTGCACTGGTCTAAGTGGCCACAGTGTGGGGTCCATGGCAGACCCAGAGTTTTCCCCGCCATTTAGGAGACTCCATCTGGAACCTCAAGGTGGTCTTGAGAACCTCCACTGTCTTCGCTGGAGGGGAAGGACAAGAGGAGAGCTTGGAATTGAACCAAGGTGCTAAGGTTGATCAGCTTTTAAAGGAGCCGTGAGAAGAGTGTTTCATTCCCCTGGAGAATATGAGAGCAAGAATGCTAGGCAGCCCTTTCGATCAGATTGCCCTGGACAGTTGACATAACACGGGTGGTTTGAATTCCATAGAAGCCTTTCCAATCATCGAGTCACTGCACAGACCAATGTTCACTGACCACCTTCTGCATTTCCTGGCCAGTTGCACTCGTGTCATGGGTCAAGACTTCCTAGTGCTTTTCTTTCTGGGCTCTCCCCTCCGGTGTGTAGAGTGGATTATTTGCTGAAGGGCTCCCATTGTGTCTGTGGGTTCTCACCTGAATGGAGTCTCTGGAGTGTCCTCAAGTAGGAAAGTTTGAAGTTTTTGTTCACACTTGGTGTTTCTAGGGTTGTTTCCAAAACCTATTTGGACAAAAGCATATTGTCGTCACTAAATCTCTCTCACACTTGTCACCTTTATCATTTCTTGTGTGGTTCAGTGGGGAGCACGGCTGGAGTGCTGTTGAAGCATCTTCCAGTGTCCCTTCTGTGCAGGAATTCCTCCGTGTATGAATCCCCCGTGGGCAGTGATAATCGGGCTGTTGTTGCAGAAGAGCTTTCTGCAGTCCAGCATGTGTGAGGCTCTCCTGTGTGACTCAGTGCATGTGAGAACACCCGCACTTTGCTTTAAAGCAGCCCTCCATCTGTGTCTCCTGACGGGGGTTGAGCAGCTCCGAGTTTCAGGTTTAGAACTGTCAGAATCGCTTCTCCCTTCTCCCACGGTAGGATGATGACTGTGGAGTTGCACTGATCTTGGCACTAACACAATATGTTAAGCTTTATAGTATTTGGATACCCTGCACCTTTAAGGGAAAACTTAGTAAGAAAGCTTAAGGTTGAACTTTTTAAGCAAAGGATAGATTTCCAACATCATAATTGTCACACTAAGCGTTTGTCCATGATGTGTATGAACAACGGAACAGTGTCAAAGCATTTGAAGAAAAACAAAATGTGAAGGATCCCTAATATTTCATAAAGGTACAAGTAAAATATGTTTCACTTGAGAAAAGTTAAATTAAAAAAATATTAGTAGCTTAAGGAGCAATAATTTACAGAGAAGAGTTAGGATAAAGGTTTGTTTAAAACATTTCTTTCATCCTTTATGGTGAGGGAGTGTTAGCCCTTATGATAGCTATTTATCCTTAAAAGAGAGGATGAATTTTGTATTTCCAAACTTATTTTTTCACTTAAGAGGAACTTCTACAGGGGGTGGCTCAGTCAGTTAAGCATCGGGCTCTTGATCTCGGCTCGGGTCTCAATATCATGGTTCATGGGACTGAGCCCCACGTCAGCCTCTGCGCTGAAGGCATAGAGCCTGCTTGGGATTCTCACTCTCCCTCTCTCTCCCCATCGTCCCTTGTTTTCTCTCTCTCTCTCTCAAAATAAATACATTAAACCTTTTTTTAAAAGAGGCACTTCTACAATATTCTCTTTTATGATCTCTCCAAACTCCCACATTTTCAAATCCACACTCACACAAGGCTCACTGTTCCTTTTACTCATGTACCAGTCCTATCTACTCTTACCACTCTGAACACTGTTTATTTCCATCATAGCATGTATCACCACTGAGAGTTATTTGGTTTGTTTACTTGTTTTTTTTTCTGTCTTCTCCCATAAAAATATAAGCATGGGGAGGGTAGGGGCTGTGTCTGTCTTCGGCAACCTTGAATCTTAAGTTCAAGCATAAGACTAACACAATCTCATATGTAACAAACACAAGAATGAAAGTATACCAAAGAGGAGAAACTGCCATGTCCACCTGCTCATTAGCTTTGGTTACTCAGGGCATCCACTGGCTCAGTAATCTTTCTTCTTGAGGTATCGAGTGCTGCATTGATGTGTGATGGCCATGAGTCCTGGTCTTGCAAATGACCAGAAGAGGTGGAAGAAAGCGCTCTGAAGGATCACACAGAGACTTATATGTTGGGGACCTATGAATATCCAACATTATTATTTTATCCTCGTGAATGCCCAAACCCAAAGCTCAGGGATCTTCACCCTGGAATAGGCAGACCATATTCCATGTACACTGCAGGAAAATCACCTCCACTCAGGTTGCCTCCCCTCCTGGTCCAACCCCTGCAATGTCTGCTCTCCACCACTTGCCTTGCTGGTAACAAGGGCCCGAATGCTCACACAGACCTGGCAGTCTTGCAAGCCCTCGAGCTGTTCCTGCCATGGACGATGCATACAGAAGGATCTGGAAAGGCCCTTACAAATCTAGCTCCATCAGTGAACCTCAAACTTGTACTCAGAGAACACTTTGAGATGTGCAGAGATGTTCCGTGACAAAAAGTATTATTCATCCAAGTAAATTTAGGGACAGTGGGTTAGAATAAAGTGAATGTTTTGTCATAGGAAGACTTCGAGCACTTACATTTAAGTGTAGTGTGAAACTAAGCCGGGAGGCGGTGGGGGGGCGGAGGGTAGGTCAAAGGAAAGGAGCCTAAGCATGCAGTGAATACCAGCCTCATTTGAGCTGGAGGCCCTTGTGGTGATGCTGTTGTGTATGGAAGTCCCACCTAACAACTCCCAAGATTGTTTGGTGGAACACCAGTTTGGGGAACACAGATCTAGTTAATCCTTTCACCATTATAGGAACCTGGGAGGATAACTGGTTTAATAGGACAGAACTAGTTCCCGCAACACTTGACTTAATTTAATATCATTTTCCTCCATTCCACATGGCTTCTTGGTTAGTGCGATTGGCATCATTATTACACAATCTTGGAAGCTGAAGCTTCAGATCCCATGGCTACCTACTGCAGAACTAGGACCTGTGCATTCTCCTTTAAGAAGATGACTTAGAGAATATTCCTTTGCATGGGCCTGGCAGAAAAATTCACTTCTTCAGGGTCAAATGAGCAGTTGTGATTGGCATCTAACATAGTTACTGAAGGATCCAAACGTTTTACCAAGAACAATCTCAATAGCTTCCAACATCTGCCATGGCGAAGAGTGCTTTACAAACGGGATCAGAGAAGGGCACTTCAGGTTTACAGAGGACAGTGATACCAGGCTATAGTGAAGGGCCAACCTTGTATAACATCTTTCAACTTCAAAGCTCATCTTACAGGATCTCATCTACCCTACTTGCCAGGAGGGGTGAAGAACAGTGATCATTGGTCCAATTTGAGAGCAGATATATAAAGCAAATGGCAGAAAGTGATTGTCTTAAGATATGTTGGAGAAGATGCATGAAGACAATGGAAGATTTCTGGTTCCTAGTTCAGGTATGACAAGGTCCTTTGAATATGAGATGTCCAGGAAGAAATCAAATTCTTGTCCATGCAGTTAGGGAACAGAATTTATGAGTCAGGGCTCCTGACTAAGTACTTCTTATGCATTCTTCCCCTTCAGCTCTCTGAGATATTCTGCTGGTGCTCCATTCCAACACCATCTTGACCACTCACGTCAGCCTCACCATCTTAGAAGGAAGAGAAAGAGAGAGTGGGGCAGTTACATCTCAGGAAGTGCTATTTTCTTGACTAAATGTTGCTATCTCGCCTATCTCCCCAAGGGCCAGAAATCCCTTCTTAGGGATGGTGTATTGTTTCCAGAAAGAAACCCAGTTTTTTTCTGTAGAGTTAACCAGGATGCTGTGCCCTCCAAAATCATTCTTGTTCCTGTACACAGTCTAGTACCTGAAAACAACCTCTCTTCTAACCATTCTCAGGCTCAAATGGGTCTGAGATTTTCAGGAGAGTGACAGGAAAGCTCTGCCATTTTGCATTCCCATCAGCAATGAATGAGACTTCCTGTTCCTCCACATCTTTGCCGACAGTTGTGTTCAGTGTTTTGGGGTTTTCACCATTTTGATGGTTGCATGGTGTTATTTTTTTATTTTTTAATAAAGTTTATTTATTTTTGAGGGAGATAGTGCTCAAGTTGGATAGGAGGAGAGGGAGAGAGAGAGTTGGGGTGGGGTAGAGAATCCTAAGCAGGCTCTGCACTGTCAGTGAAAATCCTGATGCAGGGCTCGAACTCACGAACTGTGATATCATGACCTGAGCCTAAGTGAGACTCTTAACAACTGAGTCACACAGGCACCCCAGTGTTTTTGTTTTCATTTGCAATTCCCTAATGACTTGTAATGTGGAACATCTTTGTATCTGTGTACCTTGTCTGGTGAGGTGTCTGTTCAGATATTTGGCCCATTATTTTAATTAGGTTGTTCATTTTCTTATCTTTGAATTTTAACGGTTCTTCACCTAATTTGTGTAACATCCCATTATCAATTCTTCCTATCCATGAACATGGAATGTCTCTCCATTTATTATTATTATTTTTTTATCTCTTTAATCTTGTAGTTTTATTCATGTATACCTTGTACATGCTTTTGGTATTTAGATGTTCAGCCATCTTATTATTTTACTAATGTAAATGGTATTTTGTTTTTAATTTCAAATTCCACTTGTTCCTTGTTGGTGTATAGGAAAGTGGTTAAATTTTATGTATTAACCTAATAACCTTCAACTTTTCTACAAGTGCTTTATAAGTTCCAGGAGTTTTGTTGTTGTTGATGATGATCTTGTCCTCTGTAAACAAAGAACATTTTATTTCTTCTTTTTCAATCTGTATATCTCTTATTTTCTTATCGTTATTAAATTATATAGGGCTTCCAGTATGATGTTGAAGAGGAGTGGTGCAAGGGAAATTCTTACCTTGTTCCTGATCTTAATGGGAAAGCTTCTAGATTCTCACAAGTAAGTATAATATTAGCTGCAGGGTGTTTCGGCAGTTTTTAGAATCAGATTGAGGAAATTCCCCTCTGTTCCTAGTTTGCTGAGTTTTTATCATGTATGGGTGCTGGATTTTGTCAAATGCTTTTTCTACATCTACTGATATGATCATATGATTTTCATTCTTTAGCCTGTTGATGTGAGGAATGGCATTAATATATTTTTGAATATTGAGCCAGCCTTGCATACCTGGAATAAGTCCCACTGTATAATTCTTATTATACATTGTTAGATTTGATTTGGAAATATTTTGTTGAGTATTTTTGAATCCATATTATTGAGGGATGCTGACCTATAGGTATTTTTTTCTTGCAGGTTTTTTTTTTTCCTAGTTTCTGGTATTATGGTAATGCTTACCTCCTAGAACGCCTCACCAGTATTCCCAGCCACCTCAGATACTGTTTGTCCTTTCATTACGGTCATCTTTCATCTCTACAGCCTATCCAGGTCCCTGATATCTGACCATAGCTTTATACCTGTAATTCTGTGTTAGAAGATATCTTTCATTGCCCTCTATTCTTTTGTATTGGAAGCGTTACCTGTGGAGAGTTTAGCAGAGATTTGTTGACTGTCTCTTAGCACCCATTTTCCCTTTCCTCTTTCCCAACAACACTGATTCCATTCGGAGGTCTGTGAGGTTCTTTACCCTCATTCCTAGAAATGAAGAATGTGACCTCACCTAAGTTAGTAAAGGAGGATTCTACCTCTGTGATCGGAAGATGGCTCAGTGTTAGGTATATGACCTCAAGTTGGTCCCATGGGGACTTCTGTTTGAAACGGTAGAACAAACCCAGCTTTTATTGGATGATACATGTTACCCACTGGTTGTTGACAGTCTTCCTGAAACTAGGAGAGATATGAACCTTAGAATGAAACCAACCACCATAGAAGGCAGAGCAGAGTGATAAATATTCAGTCTTGGTGACACATTGAGCTGTAGGATCAAGCATCACCTGATACCTAGAACTGCCCTTGACTTTTTAGCTACCTGAATCTATATGTTTCCTTTTATGTTTAAGCCAGTGTAAGTTGGAGTTTCTGTTCATTATAACTGAAAAGAATCCTAATACATAGAGAAACAGCTAATATGTAGATGTAGGAGATGAAGCGTCCTTTAACATACACCTATTGAAATTTTCCATTATGGAAATCATTAAACGTACATAAAAGTAGAGTAATATGGTGAAGACTTGTGTAGGCTGTAACACTTTACCTATCCTGTTTCACTTATCCTTTCCAGTTTTTTGTTTTTATCTTGTTTGTTTTGTTGGGGTTGTTTGTTTGGGAGTATTTTATTTTTCAATTATTATTTTTTAATTTTTTAAATTATTTTTTAAAGTAATCTCTGTGCCTAGTGTGGGGCTCAAACTGATGACCCTGAGGTCAAGAGTCATATGCTCTACTGACTGAGCCAGCCAGGTGCCCCTTGGGAGTATTTTAAAGGAAATCTCAGACGTTATAACATTTCACCCGTAAAGAGTTTAGTTTATAAAACATGAACAGTTCTTGACAATCTCTGTTCTGAACCATCTTTGAGAAAAAATTCCCACATGACAGAGACCCTCTCTCCCACTGGAGGGAAGTTTAACTGAGAACGTGGGAGCTGCTTTTCACTCTCTCTGAGGGCAGAACTTGACCAACAACTTTTCAAGATGGCTATGTAAGATGATCCTCCTGGGTTCCTCTCTGTGGTGTCCAATTATGAGAACAACAGGCAATCCAAATGCATCATAATGAGGGTGGTCCAGGAGGGACGCTAGATGCCTGTAATAATTAACAGAACAATATATTAATAAGATGAAACTACGCAATTAACTGTTGCACTTTTAACAAGCCCCAAGTGATTCACTCATTAAGAGTTCAGTGGCAACAGTTAATTGATAGTTTCCTGGAAGCAACTAAAAAACACAATAATACTAATTATCCTCTAATGTATTTGTATGTATTTGTATAGAGCATTCCCCCGGGAGCTCAAAATGCCCTCATTTACCTACTTGCATTGGCTTTAAATTTTTGTTCTTGAAATAATGTGTAAAGTGTAAATGGATACTAAAAATCATTTGAATTTTGTGATAATTCACCCCCTCAGCATTCCTGCTTGATGATGATGATGATGATGATGATGATGATGATGTGTGTGTGTGTGTGTGTGTGTGTATTTTAATGTTTATTCATTTTTGAGAGACAGAGAGATGGAGTGTGATCAGGGGAGGGACAGAGAGAGTGAGACACAGAATCTGAAGCAGGCTGCAGGCTGGCAGTGCAGAGCCGGACATGGGGCTCAAACCCATGAACCGTGAGATCATGACCTGAGCCGAAGTCGGACGCTTAACCGACTGAGCCACCCAGGCACCCTAGATAATGTATATTTTTTAATTAGCATTTGACCATCACATTTCAGTAACTGCTAGGATGCAAAGTGACCTGGAAATTTAATACTTCTATTCCATTTTCTTCTCCATTTGTTATCATACTTATTCTAAATAAGGAGTTTTCTCTCCTTTTCTGTCATTCGTGTCCATTCCATCCCTTGATCCTCTTTCTGGATCTCTTCTAAATTAGCTACTGTATATTCCAACACCCAGGGCCCTGATAGTCAAAAAGTGTACTATTCTCTTTTTGCACACTTCTCTTTTTTTAAGTTTATTTATTTTGAGAGAGGTAGAGAGAGAGAGGGAACGACCAAGCAGGGGAAGGGCAGAGATGGGGGTGGACAGAGGACGCAAAGTGGGCGCACAGCCATGACACCAATATAGGACTCGAACTCACGACCCATAAGATCATGACCTGAGCCAAAGTCAGACGCTTAACCAATTGAGCCACCCAGGCACCCCTGAACTATACACTTCTGTGAAAGTCATAGTTTATCGTTTATAAAACCTACTTAACCAACCAAGTGTTATTGCTACTAGAATTCCTGGTACATTAGCCTACTGTTTATCACATGTAACTCCCAAACTGACACTTAAATTGACCTGCTTCGAAAACTTGCTCTTTCCTTATTTCTGCGTGGGGTTGTTTGCCCCCTAAAGCTTCTAGAAAGATATGCACTGTGAATGTTCATTCATTCATTCAACATTGGGCAAATATTTACTGAGCACTTTCTATATGTCATTGTTTTACATGTTGGGATTTTATATTCGCAAACTTTTTTGGTTTTGTCTTTTCCTTCTAAAGAATGATGGATTGGGGATAAAGAGGGCATTTTCTACATTTCTTTACATTGTTTAGGTACATAATTTGTATACGTTTATGTCATTTTCATTTGGTTGGCTGATTGGTTTTCCAAGGCCAGTTTCCCAGTCTGCCTTATCTTCAAGTCCAACTTCAGCTCCTGTAAGACAGAATAGAAAAAGCATACCTCTACTAACTTAATATTAAATTTTAAAAATAGATGTGAGCAGTGCCTGGGTGGTTCAGTCAGTTGAGTGTCTAACTCTTGATTTTGACTCAGGCCATGATCTCAGCGTTGTGAAATCAATCCCCGTGTTGTGCTCCATGCTAACTGTGGAACCTGCCTAAGATTCTTTCTCTTCTTCTCTCTCTGCCCCTCCCCTGCTGGGTCTCTCTCTCTCTCAAAAAAAAAAAAAAAAAAAAAAATTAATGTGAATTGACTTAGGCATTCTACTAATTTGGGAGTGGACATTAACACCTACATTTGAAGGGCACATCCAATATTTTTACTTATTAATTAATCTTAGGGATTTAGAAATGATTAGAACATTAAAGGCAGAGGAAAGAATTGTAGATATACTCTTAATAATACATCGAGACACAAAAGAAACTCCTTTAAAAATTGTAAGCACTTTAGCATATAAGCAATTGTACTCTACTTGCCATAAGATGAGAAGTTTGTTGTTTTTTTTTTTTTTTGCCTACGTCTGAAGTTTTCACAGCCATTAGCCCCAAAATTATCAGAAACTTAAGCAACATTATTTACCACTATCTGAAAGAAACTTTATAATGGAAAGACAACCCAGCTTTTCTAAAGGCAAAGAATCTGAATAGACATTTCTCAGAATAAGATATATAGATGGCCTATCAGCACACAAAAAGGCACTGAACATCATTAGACATCCGGGAAATGCAAATCAAATGCACAATGAGCTACAACTCCTATCTACGAGCATGGCTATAATAAAGAAGTCAGATAATAACAAGTGTTATTGAGGATATGGAGAAATTGGAACTCTCATTTACTGCTGGTGAGAAGGTAAAATGTTTCAGCCACTATAGAAAACACTGTGGCCACCCTTCAGAAAGCTAATCATAGAATTACCATTTGACACAATCATTACACTCCTAAGTATCTACACAAGATAAATAGAAACCTGTGTCCACACAAAAACTTGTATACAAATATACATAGCAGCATTATTCACAGTAGCCCCAAACTAGAAGCAACCCAAAATGTCCATCATTGGGTAAATGGATAAAGTGGTGTGTGTGTGTGTGTGTGTGTGTGTGTATGTGTGTGTGTGTGTGTAATGGGAACATTATTTATCAATAAAAAGAAATGAAGTTCTGATGCATCATACAACATAGATGGACCTTGCAACCGCACTAAGTGAAGGGATCCAGGTACAAAAGATCCCATGTCTTATGAAATACCCAGTATAGGCAAAACCTTGGAGACAGAAGATAGACGAGTTGTTTGTAGGGGCTGGGAACCGGAAGAGAATGGAGGGTGATGGCTAACGGATACAGCATTTCTTTTTGAGGTGAAGCAGATGTTCTGGAATTAAATAGTGGTGACGAATTGTGAATATGCTAATAAAACCACTGAGTTATACCCTTTACAGTGGTGAGTTTTATAGTAAGTGACTTATAGCTCAATTTAAAACTTGACTAAGAAGGGGAGTAAAGTGGAGAGTGACAAGTAGGCTTCTAGGTAACTAACAGATGCAACAGGGCAGAGTGTAGACAAAAAGAAAGAAAGATGAAGTAAAGGCTTTGAAAAGAAACTAATTTAGGAAGTCTTCTGTGGAGGCAGGGACTAGGGAGAACCAGTCTGAAGGGAGAACCAATAATAGAGAAAAGAAGCAAAATGTTAAGGATTAGAAAGGCAGAAACAACACTATTGGTATTGGGGTTCAAGTTCTAAGTAAGATGGAGTGATCATGTCTCTTGTTTTCTCTCACGTAGAAACAACTATAAAACTTGGATAAAATGCTTGAAGACGCTATTTTAGGACTACAAAGAGCCAACAGCAGGAGGTGATTTGGCTAAAAGCACCGGAATTCAAAGTATCACTGAATTGATTGTGAGTTTACAATTTATTTTCTCTCATATCCCTTGATCTCAACACAACTAGAAATCTGAAAGTGAACACTGTAGTAAAGATAGAGACAAACATAAAACATTTATTTATGATAAAAACTATCAGCAAATTAGGAATGGAATGGAACTTCTTCCACGTGTAAAAAAAGCATCTATTTTAAAAAACAATGCCTAATATCATACTGAATTGCCAGAAATTAAATGCTTTCTCTCTGAGATCAGGACTAAGACAAGAATCCCCACTCCTGCTATTCCTATTCAGCATCCTACCAGAAATCTTAGCCAGTCCAATAATGAAAGAAAAGAAAATATAAAGGGTAATATGGGGGGCTCAGTCAGTTAAGTGTCTGACTCTTGATTTTGGCTCAGGTCATGATATCACAGTTCGTCAGTTTGAGCCCCACATCAGGCTCTGTGCTAACAGCACAGAGCTTGCTTAGGATTCTCTCTCTCCCTCTCTCTGCCTCTTCTCTCTCTCTCCCTGCCCCCTCTCAAAAATAAATAAACATTAACAAAATCTGTTTGGAAAAAGGAAAGGAAATATAAAACATCCAGATTGGAAAGGAAAAATCAGTACACTGTCTATTCAGAAAAGATGTGATTATTAATGTAGAAAATCCTAAGACCTTACAAAAATTTCTAGAATAATTAAATTTAGTGAGATCACAGGATGCAAAGTTAACAAAAAAATCCTATTTCTATGCACTGGAAACAATATCATTTACAATAGCTTCAAAAAATGAAATATTTATTTATAACACTTAAAAACCATATATGTATGCTGAGAACTTCAAACCATTGGTGAAATAAATCAAAGAAGTCCTAAATAAATAGAGAGACATACTATGTTCATAAATTGGGAAGACTCAACATAGTAAAGATGTCAGTTCTCCCCTGACTGATCAATGGATTTAACGTAAGTTGGAAAGGTAAAGAAACTAGAGTAGCCTAAAGAGTTGTGAAAAATAATAAAGATTTGAAGGAATCACATCACTTGATTATAAGACTTTTTCTAAAGCCCCATTAATCAAAACAGTGTGGTATTGTAAAGGGATAGACACATAGATCAATGGAATAGAATAAACAGTCTAGAAATAGACCCATATAAACATGACAAGTTTTTTTATAGGCAACTTTTTAGTAGGTGACATTCACATTAAACAAAAGTAACTATTTTAAACTGAACATTCGAGTCGCATTTAAAACATTCACAGGGCGCCTGGGTGGCTCAGTTGGTTAAGTGTCTGACTTCAGCTCACCTCATGATCTCACGGTCTGTGAGTTCAAGCCCTGCGTCGGGCTCTGTGCTGTCAGTTCAGAGCCTGGAGCCTGCTGCAGATTCTGTCTCCTCCTCTCTCTGCCCCTCCCCCACTTATGCTCTGTCTCTCTCTATCAAAAAATGAATAAACGTTAAAAAATTTTTTTAGGGGCGCCTGGGTGGCGCAGTCGGTTAAGCGTCCGACTTCAGCCAGGTCACGATCTCGCGGTCCGTGAGTTCGAGGCCCGCGTCGGGCTCTGGGCTGATGGCTCAGAGCCTGGAGCCTGTTTCCGATTCTGTGTCTCCCTCTCTCTCTGCCCCTTCCCCGTTCATGCTCTGTCTCTCTCTGTCCCAAAAATAAATAAACGTTGAAAAAAAAATTTTTTTTAAACATTCACAATGTTGTGCACCTACCACCTCCATCTAGTTCCTAAGCATTTCAATCATCCCCAAAGAAAACCTTGTATCCATTAGGTAGTTACTCCCCATTCTTCCCTTCTCATAGTCCCTGGAAACCATAAGCTTGCTTTTTGCCTTAGTGGATTTATCTATCCTGACTATTTAATGTAAATGGAGTCATACAATATGTGACCTTTGGGGTCTGGCTTTTTTCCATTATAGCATAATGTTTCTGTAGTTCATCCATATTGTAGCGCATATCAGCACTTCCTCGCTTTTTTGGCTGAATAATATTTCATAGTATTTATATACCACAATTTATCTTTTCAGCTGCTGATGAACATTTGAGTTTTTCTACTTCTTGTTTAATGTGAATAGTGCTCCTATAAACATGCATGTGTGAACATTTGTTTGAATGTTTTAGTTGAGGGGGGTGCTTATACACCTAGGAGTGGAACTATCAGATCATTTGGTAATTCAATGTTTTATTATTGGGAACAAACTTTTCTATAGTGGCTGAACTATTCTACATTCTCACCAGCCATATACAGCCATATACAAGTCCAATTTCTCTACATCCTTACCAACATTTACTATTTACCTATTTTATATTATTATTATTATTAATTATTATTATTACTATTGTCATCTGAGTGAATATGAAGTGATATTTCACTGTAGTTTGATTTGCATTTTCCCAATGACTAATGATATTGAGCATCTTTTCATGTGCTTGTTAGCCATTTCTCTTCTTCGGAGACATGTCTATTCAAGTCCTTTGGCCACTTAAAACTTGGGTTTTTAGGGCACCAGCGTGGTTCAGTTGTTTAAGCATCTGGCTCTTATTTTTGGCTCAGGTCATGATTTCACGATTTGTGGGTTTGAATCCCACATGAGGCTCTACACTAACATTGCAGAGCTTGCTTGGAATTCTCACTGTCTCCCTCTCTCTCTCTTAAATAAACTTTTAAAAAAAGAAAAAAAACAACCTTGGGTTGTCTTTTTGTTTTTGAGTTGTGGAAGTTCCTTATATATTCTGGATATTAAACCCATACCCTCTATATGATTTACAAGTATCTTCTTTCCTTATGTAGGTTTTCTTCTCACTTTCATGATGAAGTCCTTTGATACACAAATTTTAAGAATTTTTATAAGTTCCAATTTATCTATTTTTCCTTTTGTTGCTTTTGCTTCTGGTATCATGTCTAAAAACCCATTGACAAATCTAAGGTCACAAAGATTTACCCGTATATTTTCTTCTAAAAGTTTTCTACTGTTAGCTCTTATATTTAGGTCATGGATCCATTTTCATTAATTTTTGTGTATGATGTGAAGTAGGGGTTTTTGTTTTTGTTTGGCATGTGGCTGTCCAGTTGTCCCAGCACCATTTGTTGAAGAAACCATTCTTTCCCCCATTGAATGGTCTTGTGGTCTTTATTGAAAATCAGTTGACCGTAGATAAAGGGGTGTATTTCTGGAGTCTCGATTCTATTCTGGCAGTCTACATGTCTGTGCTTATGTCAGTACCACATCATTTTGAATTATAGTATGTTTTGAAATTGGGAAGTGTGAATCCTCCAACTTTTTTTTTAGGCTGTTTTGGCTAATCAGGATCCCTTGCAATTCCATATGAATTTGAGGATTGGCTTCTCCATCTCTGCAAAAAGACCATTGAAATTTTGACAGGGATTGCAGTGAATCTGTAGATAGCTTTGGGGTGTACTGCTATATGAACAGTGTAAAGTTTTCTAATCCATGAACACAGGGTGTCTTCTGTTTTATTTATATATTCTTTAACTTATTTTATTAATTAAATTCTATTTAATGTATATATATATATATATATATATATATATATATATATATACCTTACAGTTTTTAGCATAGAAGTCTTTCATCCCTTTTGTTAAATTTATACCTGGGTATTTTATTCTTTTGGATGTTATTGTAAATTGAATTGTTTTCTCATTTCTTTTTTATATTATTCTTTGCTGGTATATACAAACACAACTAATTTTTCTATGTTGATCTTGTATCCTGAAACTTTGCTGGATTGTTTATTATTTATAGTGATTTCTATGTGGATTCTTTGGGATTTTCTATATATAGGATCCTATCATCTATGAATAGAGAAACATTTATGTCTTCCTTTCCAATATGAATGCTTTTTATTTCTTTTTCGTGCCTCTTGATTTACCTTAGAACTTTCAGTAAAATGCTAAATATCAGTGACGAAACTGGGCATCTTTACTTTGATTCTTATTTTTAGCAGAAAGCTTTTAGTCTTTTACCATTGAGCATGATGTTGGCTGTGGGATATTATTATTATTATTATTATTATTATTATTATCATTATTACCCCTTTATCATGTTGAGGAAGTTCCCTTCCATTCCTAGTCTGTTAAGTGTTTTTATCATGAAAGGGTATTGGGTTTTATCTAATGGTTTTACTGCATCATTCATTTCTTCCCTTTACTTTATAACGTAGTGAATTACATTATATGTAATTCAACATTATGTTGAATCACCCTTGCATTCAGGGAATAAGTTCTACTTAGTTATGCTATATAATCTTGTTAATATGCTGTCGGGCTCAGTTTGTTAGTATTTTTTTTTTAATGTTTAATGTTTTTATTTATTTTTGAGACAGAGAGAGAGCATGAGCAGGGGAGGGGCAGAAAGAAGGGGAGACACAGAATCCGAAGCAGGCTCCAGGCTCTGAGATGTCAGCACAGAGCCTGACTCAGGGCTCGAACTCACGGACTGTGAGATCATGACCTGAGCTGAAGTCGGACGCTCAACCAGCTGAGCCACCCAGGCACCCCAGTTTGTTAGTATTTTGTTGAGGATTTTTTGCATCTATATGCATAAGGAACGTTAGTGGGTAGTTTTCTTTTCCTGGAATCTCTATGTCTGTGGCCAAATTATATTTGACAAAGGTGCAAAAACAATTTAGTAGATAAAGGACAGTCTTTTCAATGAATGATTTTGGAAGAATTGGACATCCTTATGGAAAAAAAGAACCTCCGTGTAAACCTTATAGCTTATATAAAAGTTAACCCCAAATTGGTTACAGTCCTAACTGTAAAATCTAAAACTCTACAACTTCTAGAAGAAAATAGGAGGAAATCTTGTGACCTTGGAATTAAGCAAAGAATTCTTAGACATGATGTTAGAACACAGTCCATAAAATAAAAAAACAAATATATTGGATTCTGTTAAAATTTTTAAATTTCACATGAAAGTCACTGTTAAAATAATGAAAAGACTGCTTTGGAAAAGAAACTGGTAGTTCCTCAAAAGGTTAAACATCTGTCTGACCCAAT